CCCCCCCCCCATCTCCCCAATGCTAACCCTTCTGGAAGCGGAATTCCTGGGGCGAGGTTGAGGAGCGCGTTTGCCATTTTGGGGGGGGGGGATCCCCACGTGGCGAGAACTCCCAGGCTGAGACGACGCGGGCTGCGGGCTCAGCATCTGGGTTGGCCCACTGCATTATGACCACGGCTTGCGTAACCACGGCTGGCTGGCATAAACCACCATCTGGCTACGCGCAACGCGCTGGGTAGCCGGAGCTGACCCAGCGTTGCGCACACCACGCTGCGCGCTTCCTTGCCTTCTGCGCGCTCGTTCATCGCCTCCCACCCCCCTCCATCATCCACTTCTTCCGTGGGGAGGGGTCCCGATCCCCCCTCTGGGCGCGTGCAATTGGGGCAGGGGGCTTCGTCCACTCAATCCAGCCGGAGGAGTTGCGCTTTGGGCGTGTGTGTGTGGGAAGGAGGTGGGGTTCTGCCCGGCCCACGCATCGGGCACGCGCGTGGGTGGGTTTGTGGGGGGGGAGAAAAGGAGCCGCAGAGATGCGGTGGGCGTCGCAGGGAGTCCCCCTCCCCCTCCAGCCTCGGCGGCTGCTAAAAATAGCCGCTCGCTCCGCTTTTCCAGGCTGCGCCAGTCGCAGGAAGCAGGCGGCGGATGCGCGCTCCGGATTTGGGGAGGGGGGGGCGGCCAAGGGGCGAAGCCGGAGCGGGGGGACGTCATCGCTGCCCGCTCGCTTGCCAAGCTCAGAGCCGGAGCTGAAGGTGGGGAGGGGGCGCCTGCGGGGTGGGGTGGGGGGAAGCCTGGAGGGTCGCGCGCCAGGAAGGGGGCGCAGCTGATGGAGGAAGAGGAGGAGGGTGGAGCAGCCGCGCAGCGCATCGGCTGGACTTTGGGGAGGGGGTCTGCTCTGGTCTCCCTCCCCAAGGGAAGGGGCTTCGGAGCACACGCGCGCCCCCCACCCGGGAAGCCACGAGGGTCTCCAACGAGGGCGAGGGTGGAGCAGCCGCGCAGCGCATCGGCTGGCCCTTGGGGAGGGGGGCCGGAGGGGGTCTGCTCTGGTCTTTCCCCCCCCTCTCCCCAGGGGAAGGGGCTTCGGAGCCCACGCGCGCGCCCCCCACCCGGGAAGCCACGAGGGTCTCCAACAAGGAGGGCGAGGGCGAGGGTGGAGCAGCCGCGCAGCCTTTTTTCGGGGTGGGGGGCGATATAAAGCGAGAGATGGTCAGCCACGCTTGTTTCTCGGACCCCCGAGGGGTTCTTCCCCCCCCCCCGAGAAGAAGGGGCGTCGGAGCGCTGTCCCCCCCCCGCCCCTCGGAGCGCGAGAGGCACTCTGCACGTGCTCGCAGCGCACGAAGAGCTGCGGCACGGCCAGAGGTAGTAGTAGTTTTTTTTGCGGGGGGGAGTCGGG